AGGGCGGTGGGTCTTGAACCAATGTAAAACATGCTACGCTTTTTTCGATCCCTAAATACCTCAGAATCTCTTTCATTTTCCCCGTCAACGTAAACAATTCTATCACAAGGGGAAGTAAGCAAAAGCCAAAATAATTCTCTTCCTTTCAACAAATTTAATGGGGGAAGTAAGCAAAAGCTATAATAATTCTCTCCCTTTCAACAAATTTATTGAATTCTAATAAACGTGGGAAAATGATATCAATAGGTGGATATGAGACCAGATCTTTTCATAGAAACTTTGAGGTTGTCAAGTATTAACAAATGGCGAAACATTTGTCGCCGACAGTCGTCAGTTATAATTAATCTCTGGTGATAAGACATGATGGCGGCAAACTGGACAACCCATAGCACAATGGTGGTAGCTGTGTACATAAGTAGGGAGGTGGGCGGGGGATGGATGGTGGGGGACTGTCCACGGGGAAACCACCTCTCTCTACCCCCCTCCCTGCGGGGACCGGACTGACCACGGTACGGTGTGGTGGTTGAGTCTGACCAACAGGGGGCGCAAAGTGGAGGAGACTGGGGTCGGGGGTTTGGCTGAGGTTGGGAGAAGAGGAGAAGAGGAAGATTATGTCAGAGGGCTTGGATTGGAAAGGGTGGAGGAGAGGTAATTTGAAGAGAGAGAGAGAGAGAGAGAGAGAGAGAGAGAGAGAGAGAGAGAGTTTTTAAAATATGATAGCATAGACGTAGGGTAACAAACACACTAACAATGTCATCACTTAGAAGCGGCCCCCAGGTGATTGTTCCGCATACTTTTATTAAATGCCAGGGATGAAGATGACGAATTATTTCCAAATTTTTGGTCTCTCTAAGCGAGGAGTTGGGAATGAGGGTTGTGTCTTACCCCCCAGGACAGCCTGGCGGGGATCTAGAGTAAGCACACTACAAAACAACAACAACAACAAAAACTGAAACACACTTAACACTAAGACTAATATACACATTTCCATCATCAGAGCATCATCATCGTCACCATAAGTAACCATCATCATGATCACCATCACCATAACCATCACCATCATCATCATCACCATCATCATCATCATCATCATCATCATCATCATCACCATCACCGACTAAACAATTCTCCTGTTTTTGTTTCGTTTTTCTAGAAAACATAACAATTTGCACCATGTCAATACATTTTACATAACCTACAAACATGGGCACCAAAATCAGAACATGGGACCAAAAAAAAACGCAACTCATTCCCTTCTGGGGTCCAAACTGGGGCTGATCTCAGACTTTGGGACTGCTGTAAGGTGAATTCAAAAGGGTTTTTGTTTTCTCTTGAAAAAGGGGGGTGGGTGATGCAAGAAGGGTTTTTTGTTGTTGTTGTTTTGTTGTTTTGTTGTTGTTGTTGTTGTTGTTGTTGTTTTGTTAGATTTCTTTTTGTTGCTGATTTTGTACAAGCGTAAATTAAACGAAATACATGTAGTATGTAAGTAAGACGATGAAGACCGAGTGCCATGGTAAAACAAACACACGGGTCGCCACCACTCGGAGAACGAGCGACGCTTCTGTCACAAGTTCACGTCAACGCCCATTGTTACTTTGTTACAGATTAGGTAAACAAAACAGTGACCAGTCACCTCACACACGATTTGTGCATGAGTTGTGGGCGGGGCTTGTAGGATATGACGGATCACACGCTTCCCTCACCAGCTGTAGAAAATTTATTGTCAGGCCTACCCATTGGTCAACTTGGGTAAACAGTCATTGGAGGGACTAACAATAACGACAGGTGAACGAATTATGACGGCCCGTCCACAGCGCCAGGGGTCGATTCAAATTTTGACAAAGCGTCTGGCAATGAGTGACCACGTGTGGCCGTCTGAGGCAGGTACATTGATCGACGGTGAGTTGATAAAATAAGGTGGCCGCGGCCGCGTTGGACAGGTGACCTTTTTACACAGTTAAGTTATACAGAAAAAAACGCAAAGGGGGAAATGGAAAGTGATCGTTTGTGCAGGTGGCCGTATTATATAGGTGGCCTTCATGGCAGGTTGGACTGTACCTTTACAAGTGTATTTAAGATAAGGTAAGATAAGATAATACTTCATTGTCCCGGAGTGAATTGTTTTCTTGGCTGTACAGGGCCGTAAAAACACATACAGGTATAATGTATAGACATTAAATTTTATATTCGAAGTGGCTAGCCGTACTTAGATCTAGGTTTGGCCCTATTGACTCAAACCTGTGGAGTACACATGTCTCAGTAGATCTAGATCTAGTCATTATTCAGATTTAAAATACATGGAGGTCAGTAAAGCACCTTTTGGTTTTGTATGAAATACAATAGGCATTGCAAACTAAAAATTTCGTGTACTATTCAACCATCATTATTAAGTACGGCTAGCCTCTTCCTTATATATTACTCTCACTAAGATTCAATAATATTTTTTTAAAGTCAAAGGGCGCGCAAAACACCAATTCTTATTTCAACAAACAAAAAACACTAGCCTCCAACTCACCAGTTCCACAACACAAAGGCAAAGCGTAGAGCCAGCCTCTTGTGATTGAGCATCGTGATCAACGTCTCTGTGCTTTTCCTCCCACTCTCTTTCGCTTCCTTCTTCTCTCGCTCGCTCTTCTCGATCTCCTCCACCATCTCCCCGAACAGGCTCTCGGGAAAGGTCACACCGTTGACCTTTGCCATTTTCTCCAGGATGACCCTGGCCTCTTGCGTCCGTCCTTTGGTGATGAGCCAGCGAGGGGATTCAGGGATCAGCCTGGAGAGAAGAAAGGGGAGGTGGGATAAAGCTTACAAATGTAATAATAACAATAGCAACGACAACAACAACAACAATAACAGAAGTAAAAGCAATAACAACAATAACAGAAGTGAAAGCAATAACAACAATAACAACAACAACAACAATAACTGGACTGCCTCACCCGCTACCCAAGAGAGGCGGAGGCCCAGGCGAAGAGTACGCTCTTCGGGGCTCCAAACATTTCGAACGGATAGGCTACCACACAAAAAAACACACACAACAACAATAACAGAAGCGACAGCAAGAACAGAAACAGTAACAGCAGCTGGCCGGACGTTGTGTCGTTGGGAAAAACACTTCACACGAAATGTCCTCACTTCACCCAGGTGGGAATGGGTACCCGCCATAGACAGCTGCGAGAGGATCTTGTCAGTATGTTAGTGATTTAGCGCCTTTATATGGCTGCTTGCGCTGTATGCAACAGCAACTAAAACAACAATAATAACGAAAGCAACAACAACAACAATGACAACAACAACAACAACAACAACAACAACAACAGCAGCAGCAGCAGCAGCAGCAGCAGCA